AAGAAAGGAGCCTCTGTGTGGTTGGGGCTGCCGGCTCGCCTGGGGTTAATGGGAGAGGATCTCTCATAGAGGGGCGTGTGCCTCCCTTCAGGAGAAATGCTGCTGAAGCTCTTTTGCTCTGGGAGAGCTTTCTCAACCGAGTCCACAGACTGGCTGCTCTCCACCACAGCGTCTGTGTGCGAGTGCTGGACCTGAAGGCAGAGGAGACACAGAAGCATCAGCTGAGGCAGCTGGAGCACGTTGCTGTGGTACCAGCTGGATTTCTTACCCCGTGTTTGTCAGGCTGTGGCGCCTGTGGAATGACGAGTAGTTTTGGAGATGGCACTGCGGCAGGCACCCCCGTGTGTTTTGGTCTAACTGTGAAACAAACACAAAACCTCTAGTTCAGATGAAAAGTAACTTCTACACTTACAAACGTAGATATTTTATTCAGCGAGGCTCTGTGCTTCATCACATTCACACTGAAATTTGTAGGAGCAGTGCTTCATTTGAAGAGCTTCAAATAAAACCGAACACAGAGCCAAAGAAAATGCACCTGAGCAGGTGGACTGCAGGAGAAGCTCTTTCACTGTTAAAATGATCAAATTTAGTCCAGTGAGTTTTTTACATCTATCTGAATATGAGTAACAGACTGTATAAAAAGATGGAAAACACTCCTTTACATTTGTTCAGTGCGTTTGACCTGCTGCTTCGGTCAGCAGTGAAATGTCCAATCAACTCAGTTTAGTTTGATGTTTTTTTACCTCTAAACTTTAAACACTTTGTGTTAAACTCCCCATAAATAACATTTACAGTTACTGTACATCCCCCTCACAGCAGCGAGTCTCCGAACAGACTGAACTTTTAAGCCCCCAAAAGTAGTTTAATGGAAACTTTAAAAAAAGTATTCTCTCCGACACAAGTTTGATGTAAACTCAAGTTAAAGCAGAAACTCTGCACGTTAATGTCATAAATGATATATTAAAGTGTTGAATCTCAGCGCCGCGACTCGACGGATCAGTGCTGCCGACACGAACTCCAGAGTTTTCAGTTTATGGTGAGATGAGGCGAAAACCCACCCAACTGTAGAGGTAAATGTTGGGGCTGGTTGGCCACTGAGTAGTACTCCACTGCCTTCTTGAAGCGGAAGATTTTGTCATCAGTGCAAGACTAAAAGAAAAAATGAGAGAACAGAGTATTTCTTTGTCTAAAATAAAAAAATCTCCAAATTCACTTTCAAACAGGCAAATTCTTTATTCCTCTTATCCTGATTTTGACCACTTTCTACTAAAACATGCAGTAAAAATAATATACATAGCTTAACCCTTTAAGACCTACCATAGAACCAAGTCCGC